CGCCGCCGCGGCTGGATCCGCCTCGACACCTCTGTGTGTCGGCACGCGCTCCGGGAGGGAGTTCTGGGAGGAGGAGGAGGAGGAGCCGTGCGGGCACCTGCTGGTCTCCCCCCGAACCGGGCCCGCCGAGGAGGAGGAGGAGATGGAGGAGGAGGAGGAGGAGGAGGAGGAGGAGGAGGAGGAGGGGGAGGAGGAACCGTGTGGGCACCTCTTCTGGTCTCCCCCGAGCCGGGCCCCCGCCTGCGGGACCGGCGGCCCCCTATGCCCGCCCGCCGCCGCCCCTTGTTTGCCCCCGGGGAGGCGTCCGTCGGCGGGCCCGGCGGCCCCGTGCCCGGCCGTCGCCGCACCATTCACCAGCCTCGAGCGTATCGGGGGCGGCAAAGAGGGGGGTGATGACTAGGGGGTGGTGGATATCATGGCGTGGGCCATGATATTTCCCCAGATTTCATGGCGCCCCTTCTTATTTCATTACGTCCCTGGCCCCCCCGCTGGGCCGCGCACATGCCGCCGGTCATGATCTGCACCCCCCCCTCTTGGACACCCCCCTCTTGGCCGCTCCCGAACGTATCCCTATCCCTAAGATTGACACGCCAGAAGGCGATGACAATCTTAGGGATTCGCCCTCAAAAGATATGGGAATCCCCAAGATTGGCATCGTGATGAGGAGGTGCCCAGCATAGGGATAGGGATGTGTTCCAGGCTGGTAAACCATGCAGTCTCCACCGCACGGTTCGCACCGCGCAGACTGGAGCCGCCGGGCATGCCAGAACACACACGGTGTGGGGTCCACGCTGGCCAACATTGCCATTCAACGGGTGGGGGTCTGGCCTTTTTGGGGGTCTGACGCGAGCTGTCTTGGAGGTCTCTGGGTGGCCTGGGCCAGGGGCAGCCTTCTCAGGGCCAGTCGGGGGGGGGTCTCGGATGCCTCGTCTGAGAGATTTGTGACCCTCGCCCGTTTAGTTGTGAAGTTCGGAGCAGCCATACTCGACCGCCGGAGCAGTGCCAGGTGCAAGTTTCTTCCATGCTGGCCACCACCAGGGGTTTTGTGACCAAGATTGATTTTGTCGCATCTAACATCTCCCATCAGGCACAACACCAGCATAAACATACACTTTCGAAGCTCCGCGCGGGTTTCTTGGATCGGCGCTGGGCGCCCCTGGCGGCGCCTCTGGCGCCTTCCCAGGAGTCCAGCGCAGATCCATTACATCTGCGCAGATGTCCGAAAGTTTATGTTTATTTAGACGCTTCGCGCAACCCCACCAGGCCGTCCAGAGACGATGCCCAGGCGAGTTGCCATGATCAGAGATGTGGAGGAGCATGCAGTGGAACAACGGGCTGGGGAAGCCCTTGTACCCCAAGGAGGAGTGGAGGAGGAGTGGAGGAGGAGAGGAGGAGTCGGAGTCGGAGGAGTCGGAGTCGGAGGAGGGTCGGAGGAGGAGGAGGAGGGAGGAGGAGGAGGAGGAGGAGGAGGAGGAGGAGGAGGAGGAAGAGGAGGAGGAGGAGGAGGAGGAGGAGAGGAGGAGGAGGAGGAGGAGGAAGAGGAGGAGGAGAGGAGTGAGGAGGAGGAGGGAGGATAAGGGAGGAGGAGAGGAGGGGAGGAGGAGGAGGAGGAGGAGAGGGGGGAGGGCGAGGGGGAGGGGGCAAGCCAGGTGCGCAAGCGTCTTGTCTGACGTCCTACCCCTCCCTCCCATCTCTGACCGTGGCGCAGATCTCCCCTATTGGCACACTCGGATGTCGAGCAGGGCACTGATCCCGAGAGGGTGCGATATGCATGGTCGTGCACGGCGCAGTGGCACGGCGCAGAAGAGCACGGGGGGGCGTCGTATGCTCGGATGGAAGCCAGACGTGACGCAATACGAAACATGTCAATGAGCGGTTCGGAAAGAGCGGAAACGTAACACGAGGGCCAATGCAGCAGCGGGAGCGCGATTTGGAATCACCGCTACAGGCGACATGAGGTCAGCGCTCTACGGCGGGAGCAGGATTTGTCTGGCCTGCGAGCCAGCAAATGGAGCACCCGCTGCAGCGGGAACGCCATCGGTGGGACAACACCGAAGACGCTCAGATTGGAAGCACACATGTGATCGATCACCTTCTGGGGATCCGATGCGTAAAACAAGGGAAATCCGATGCGTAAAACAAGGGAAACGCGGCGGAGGAGGAGGAGGAGGAGGAGGAGGACGAGGCGGAGGAGGAGGAGGACGAGGTGGAGGAGGAGGAGGAGGAGGAGGAGGAGGAAGGAGGGGCTGAGGAGGAGGAGGAGGACGAGGCGGAGAGGAGGAAGCGGAGAGGAGGAAGGCGGATTGAGGAGGAGTGAGAGAGAGGAGGAGGAGGAGAGGAGGAGGAGGAGAGAGGGGGAGGGAGGTGGCAGGGAGGGGGAGGGGGAGGGAGGAGGAACATCCCACGGAGGCCCTAGCCTCGGAGGCCCTGCGGCGCCCCGGAGGCAGGACCTCGGAGGCCCAGCAGGGGCCCCGGCAAGGGCCCCCTCGGAGGCTCGTGGAGGGCACGGGGTGCCCAATGGGGCCACAGAGGGCTCCAGTGGGCCCCATGTGATCAGAGGGGGGAGGAGGGAGGAGGGAGGAGGGAGGAGGGAGGAAGGAGGAGGGGGAAGGAGGAGGAGGAGGAGGAGGAGGAGGAGGAGGAGGCGGAGGCGGATGCGTTTGTTTATTCATTGTTTTGCCGATCGGCTCGGGCCCCCTCCCCCGGAGGGGTCGAAGGGCTTGAAATGCAGAGTGAGCGGAATCCAGAACTAGTATGTGAGAGTGCAGGGCTCACGGGACGCACTGCTGCAAACGGTCGCAGTGAGCAGATGTCCGGAGCCAGACCCCCCCCCCTTCCGCCCAATGTCGAAATGCCGAAAAACGCTCACCATGAGGATGACGAGCATTGTGAGGACGTCTCTGGAAAAAGACGGATCGTGGTAGAGCGCGCAACACAGCATAACATAGAATGGAGTATCAAAGTCTGACGTACCATCCTGTGCAATGCATGCTTGTATATGCTTCGACATGCATTCCTCAGCGGCTCGTGGATCCTTTCGGACGGATTGTCGTATCGGCCCGTGTTCTTGCTTGCATGCTCTCACGATTGGATCCCACAGCGAAGAATGGGCAACGCATCTGCTGCAGGCGTCATTACACAACCTGTGCATCTGACACGCAACTCTGCAGTCTCGTCTGAGGGGTGGCAAGTGGCGAGGGATCCCTGGGCAGGTCATTGGGAAGGGCTCGTACGGGAAAGTGATGCTGGTCCGCCACAAGGACGACCGCGCCCCTCTGCTGAAGTGTTGGCCTTCGTGCACGCACTCAGCTGGATGCCCGATCCAACAGAGGTCAATTGCAGCAGGTCGACTGCGGTCCGTCGAAGCTGCGAGGCCGCTTCCGCTCGGGCGCCTGGTTAAGGCTTTCAAACAACTCGGGATCTGTGTTTGGAGTCGTGTTTCTTGACGTTCTTGACCATAGGTCACCGCCCACCAAAGCACCCCAACCCAACCCGAAGCCCTCAATTTGCCTTCCATTTCCAGTGGGGGGGGTCGGGGAACGTTGACAAAAACACATGGTATCCGTACCCCCCCCCCAAACCCGAAATTCGGGTCAAATTCGGGTCTTAGGGTTGGGTTGGGGTGGTCTGGTAGGTAGTCAATAGGAGCTTCTCCTGGCACAAGCCACACAGCGTCGCGAGAGTCTGGACCGGAGCTCCAGGCCCGATCTCTCTGCTGCAGCCTTCGAGAGCCTCATCGACCCGTGCTGGCCCCGGGGCCCGGCCCCGGCAGCCGCCCGGACCGGATCTCAGAGGGGCGAGCCTCGCCCGCCCGGCTCGATGCGCCCCCCGCCGAGAAGGCGCAAACCCACCCCCACCCC